ACCAATAGAACTAAAAGAATAAAACAGCCTACATAAAACAGACTACAGGTGGATGATATATAAACATCAGTTTTAAACCTTTAGAATCCTTTAGTTTTTCTCACTTTGTGGGCACCTCCTCTGTCAACAAACAAAAGCACATTGCTCCAGAAAATATCTACACTCTTCCGACAGACAGTTTTTAGGTCTTGCACCCTTCACTCCTCTAGAAATTCCAGTTTTCCTCAGCATTTAGTGACTTTTGAGACCCCCACCCCCCATCCCTCACTGTCTTGGAATGTCTACTGACCTTTTATGGGAGGGGCAGGGGTATGGATATTTAGTAATGCAAAATATAAAATCAGTTTTGGAAGCCTCACCTCATTTTTTTGAAAGGTCTTTTTCCTACTGCCTTTTTTAAGGGGGGTGGTGACGTAACAAACTGCTGGGCAACTTGCTGAGCAACTAACTGAGAATTAAGTTTGGGTTTCCTGGAATCCAACAAACAAAAGAAAAAGACAGAATTAAATCAAATACACCTTGAGCTTTGATAACCCCTGTCTCAGTCAACAGATCTTCAAAAAACCTGTTTGTCATTTTTTTCTCCATAATGTTTTTGAAATAGGTGAGAAATTCAGACTGTGAATGTGGGTCAATTCAAGAACACAGTCCTCTCTTTCATCTGGGAAATTGTTATGGTTTTTAGTTTTCTAAGTGGTCAAGCTTTTGCCATAATGGTTGATCTCTCACTACAACTGCTGCAACCTTTCTAAATCCAATGTCAAATGGCTTTTGTGAATTTTTTTTCTCTGAATATTCCGTCTGCAGCCCCTACAGATTTGGAAAATTTATAATCAAACAAATGTAAGAAACTGAAGGTGAAAGTAAAAGATAATAGGGTGGGTAGAGGTGGGGTTAATTTTGCTCACTGAAGCCCGGTCCTCACGATGCAAGCATTAACATAAACTTAAGCTTACGGGCTAGTGGGGATGGCTGCGACATAAGCAAAAGCATAACCCTCCTGCTTCTGGTTATGTCATTGTTATGTCCACTGAGGACATGGTCGGTATAAGAATAAAGTGCCTTGCTGATTGACTGAAAGTCTTTCGCTTATGCTTATGCTTATACCAACCACATCTCCACTGGACATAACAGTGACACAAGCATAAGCATAAGAAGAATGCCAGGCTTTGATCTTCTTACGCTTTTGCTTATGCTTATGTTTTGTGAATTTGATGGTACATCCGAACAATAATTATATCTGCAAGGCAGTGCTAATCATGAGCTATCTACTTAGGAGGGTTATGATTTGAAATGTCAAACCTCACTGAGAAGTAAAACGTGCTGTAGTGTAGGAGTCTAACAGTGACATGTGAGGATACAGTCACTTAGACAGGTCAATGGGTCCTGACTAAATTTGCCACAAAGGGTTGCACTTCCCCTGCAGCTTCAAAATTTTCCTTTATCATTTTACTCTGCAAATCTAAACCCAAACATCTTTAAGATCTTTATTTATATTAATTAGTAATTTATCATAACCTCAGTTTTTCAGCCAGCCAGCTATTTTCTGATAGGGGGAGGGTGGAAAACAATCTGTACACTGTACAATAGTGCTAACAACATTCCCCTTTCATCACAAAATAACAAAAGGTGTTTTGCGGTCATGCAGGAAATGACTTGGGCATCTAAATTGTCAAAAGACGTCAATTCATTTTACCACAAACATCCAAAGATTCGAGGACGAGCATCTGTTTCCCATCGTTTCAGTGGATGTATTTTAGTTATGCACTGTTCTGCAGTGCACATGGTTTTGTAAGCTGTCACAAAAACCAGATCAAATTGTATCTGTTTCATCGGGATTCTAAAGTTATTGCTCCTCGAGCGATCTTTTTGTTGTCTGTTCAATATTCAACCTTACCATATCCACGGTGGACGAAAGTCAAAGATAACACTGAAAATAGTAATTTTCTGTCTCCCAGACAGCAATTGCAAAGAACAAACAAATGCAAAAGTGCCACGCGTTAAATGGTTACCTTGTAGAGGTTCCTTTTCTTACATCGCACATAGCACATTTAAAGGCTTCTGCGCCATTTCTGTACGTGCAAACACTGCAATCCCAGTAATTCTCATCCGTACTTGGCCTCAACACCTTACGTATTCTGCGAGAAGACAAAATAACATCTCAAAAACTTGAAAAATTTCAATCACTAATCCAAGCGACACAATCGATTCGATTGGATGATGAGCTGTTCTAGAACTCCTGATCGCCTTTCTTTTTACAACGAATCGATTTCTCAGTCGAATACACACATCCAAAAGTTCAAGTTTTCATCTTCTTTCAGCCTCCTGAAATTTAAGTGATTAACGATCACGCAATAGTCTCGCAGAGCAACTTTTCCGACAAAAACACTTAGATGTGAAGCACAAATTCAATTTCTCAGATGCACTTACTATCTCATCAAATTCTACCACAAAAATATGATCAAAAGCTTCCTTACTTGATGGGGCTTTTTTTCTCCACCTTCTCTTCCATACTACGCGGTAAATAGGCTCCAGTATAAACAAATATTCCTTATTTTTCCCTGCAAATTTTCGACTTCTCTGTTCCTGTGTCCTCGTTTGTATACAGGCACGGCTTATGGGCAAGAGCCAATCACATCACAGAGTCGCCGGCGGAACCTGTGGAACAATGCCCTGCCTAATATGGTTGTTGAAAGCGTGACTTCCGTTCTGTCTGGTTTCCCGCGAGTTTTTTTGGAAACACCTGGAATTTCTTTGTCTGGAGCAACCTGTTTTAATATCAAAAGCCCTGGAGCGCTATTTGAAAGTTAAACAACAGCCTCTAAGTAAAAAAAAACAAACAAAAAAAACAGATTCGTGAAAGGGAGAGAAAGATAGAGATGTCGAAGGCAGACCAGCAAGGAAAAGGGGGCTGTTTCTACGAGCCATCCTAAAACGGGACCATATCAGGCTCACATGATCAAACGTGTGTGTACCTGCATGATGCATGTATCTGATGCATTGTGCATGGTAAATCGTACAGCAGTGAAACAGGGACAGTGCGTGTCCTCATCATCGACTCCTTGTCCCCATACATGACGTAAATAATGCAATCCACTATTTTTTTACAATCACACATGCATTTTATTTCGTTTCTTTTATCCTTTCACATTTAAATCTTAAAAACTTAAAGACTGGGACAAGATCCTGATGAAGAAACCTTATGATCACGCCCGAAGATCGTACAAGGCCAGTGACACGGGCTTGTTATTGGCCCTTTTTTCTGAAAATGTTAATGAGATTTTGCAAAATTTCCGGTATTTGCCAAGAC